ATTCGAATAGGTCAAACTATTGTAGTGGTGGCCTATTTTTATTCGGATTACCAGTCATTCTGTTCGGTGGTTATTTATGGGTTTTGATTATAATGCAAGAATCAACAAGGGATAGTGCTATACTTATTGCAGTAAATATTATTATTTCTATTCTTGAATAAATAATATTGAACATCATTGAAGCAAGATTCTTTTTTCATCAGAGATTAAAAAAAGTGTTCAGTCACATCTTTATCTGACTGCAAGAAAACGAAGGCCATCTTCTATGAATACATTAGAGCAATCTAACAACGTGAAAATGTGATTAAAGATGTGAATTGATGTAAACAAAGATTTGTAAAGTATTGAGTTGGCAAGAAAGTTTTGCGTCTTTTTTTATTATCTTAACACATTGCTGTGACATTTTTATTTGATAAGCTATCGACTTGATTTAAGTGCCAATGAAAAGAATATTGCCTCGTGAGTAGTTATTTTATTCTTTTGGTTGGGTTTCATACTATTCCTATTACAATTTGTGATGTAATGACTATGATGTCATATGACCATGAGGTCACGTGACTACTACTTGTTCAGTGTTGGAGTACATTCTGGAACTTTCTATGATTTCTATTCCTCTTTCGTGGATGGGTTCTTGCGTAATGTTCTGAAATGTTCTATTTTCAACACTATATATATAGGCTGTCCGCTGTTACTCGTTCATTCCTTTTCTCAGTTGTACAGTCAGATCGTTAGTTTCCACGTGTGAATAAACAAGCTCCTCAACTCGTGATTTCTGTTTGACATCGGACTCGCCCTGAAGACGTGACACCATTTGCTTTGAATTATATAGATGCACAAAAGCTGCACATTCAACACTATATGTTGTTTGAATTCGACTGAGGATTCTCAGGAACGACAGCAGCAAAAGAAATCTGTGAGGTATACGGTGACGGCTCCACTACCAAATCCACTTGTGATCGCTGGTACGCCAGATTTCGTTCCGGCGACAGGACCTTGACGGACCAACCACGTGAGGGACGCCCTTCGATCGTCAATGACGATGCCTTGGAAACCCTGCTTGAGATGAACACCCGGCAGACCACACGTGAACTTGCGAAGCAGCTAGGTTGTTCACACACCACAGTCGAAAATCGTCTTCATGCGCTTGGCAAGATCCAAAAGTATGGAAGTTGGGTGCCAAACGAACTGTCCGCCAATGACAAGGTTCAGCGGGTTCCAGCTTGCGTTTCGCTTCTCTCCAGTCACCAAAAAAGCTCTTTTCTTGAGAGGATTGTCACCGGAGATCAGAAAAGGGTCCTCTATATTAACATCGACCGCAAGAAACAGTGGTTGAACCCGAGGCAGAAGTCGTTGCCGGATGTCAAAGCAGATCTTCATCCAAAGAAGGTTCTCTTGTATATCTGGTGGAATCTGAAGGGGGTACTTTACTACAAGCTTCTCGACAACGCTACCATCACCGCTGTGGTCTACGCTCATCAACTACAGCGTGTCCAGGAAGCACTCGTTGAAAAACGTCCAACGCTGATCAGTGGAAAGGGAGTGATTTTGCTTCACGACAACGCCCGGTCACACATTGCTAAGATAACGGGAGCAAAAATTCAGAAGTTGGTCTGGGAAGTCCTTCCTCATCCACCATTTTCCCCAGATCTGGTGCCAAGGATTACCATCTATTCCGCTCTCTTCGGAACCATCTAGCTGAGAAACGCTTTGAAGACTACGACACTCTCAATTCTGACCTCGCCGCTTTTTTTGACTCAAAAGAGCCAGACTTTTATAAAAACGGGATCTAGCAACTGCCGAAAAGATGGGCTGGGGGTGGGGGTGGGGGTGGGGGTGGGTGGGNCAACAGCATATAAAGGAATAAGAGTAATCCCGTTGATATTGACAGTGAGTCTGGCAGTTTATCTGTTAACAAGAGACATCATACAATTTAAAGAATATGAACAACGAGATAATTATACATTGTTGAAGACTGGAGACCAGTACTATATTGTGAAAGAAAACTTATCTATTAGCGATTGTCCACCAGGATCTGCATTTTCGTTCGATGCTACTCAAATCTACCTTCAGATAATAGTCAAATCAGGTATTTTTCCAAACCAAGCTTTAATTAATATTTTAACATTGTTTTGGTTGAACATCATACTGGTCATCGTTTTGACGCTATTGGATATATATCTGGCATTAAGGAACATCTGTAATATTTCTAAAATACATCCGAATAACTATAATGAAAAGAATTCGAACCACAAATGCCGTTGGATTGCTGGTAAAATTTTTGAAAAATTCTGGTCCAAAGGAACAATAACAGCTCCAACTTATTATATATTCTTATTTGATTATTCGCGTATCTGCTTGAAATATCGTTCAAAAGCGGAAGTTTATGCCATAGAAACGGTCGGATTCACAATCATTTTTCCCCTTCTTGGTGTTGTATGGACGATAGTTGCTCTGATACATACAAAGTGTACTATTGGTACTTGTAGTTATGGATGCAGTTATGATGAAATAAAGGCAGTGTCACAAAATCGACAGGATTCGAATAGGTCAAACTATTGTATTGGCTGCCTATTTTTATTCGGATTACCAGTCATTCTCTTCGGTGGTTATTTATGGGCTTTGATTATAATGCAAGAATCAACAAGGGACAGTGCTATACTTATTGCAGTAAATATACTTATTTCTATTCTTGAATAAATGACATTTAATATCATTGAAGCAACATCTTTTTGCATCAGACATAAAAATTAAAAAAATGTTCAGTCACATCTTTATCTGACTCCAAGACAAAGAAGGCCACTGTCCCATGAATACATTAGAGCGATCTAGCAACGTGAAGATATGATTAAAGATGCAAATTTATGTAAACAGAGATTTGTAAGGTGATTCTTTTCAAATCACTTTCAAGTCCATTTTGTAATTTGGGTTTAACTAGTCATTTCCATCTATTTGTATTTTGGGTGTGGTTGTAATGATGAGAGGATTTCAGTATTTCCTCTTCATTTAAACCAACGCATCCACAACTACCAACATGACTGGCGACAATCAAAAGTGCTTGCTAGGGAAAATAACGCGCGCATTTAAGTTTCAGACTTCCAAATTAATTTGATTCGAAAAAAAAAGAATTCAATAAATGGCAGTAGAACAGGCTGTCAATATGGTCTCATATCAGTCTAATATATAAAACTAACATTAAACCTTATGCAACTGGCACATTGAGTATCTTCATCTGTTTTTTCAGGCGTCCATCTTTCTTCTCTAACTCATATCATAATTTGCTCATTTACTTGCTTGTGAGTTCACTTCTCTTTATTCGGTCATCGATTTGCTTCGATATCATCTTTGCATTCACCTTGCTGCCATTTGTCAGTAGTATTCAACTGGTCTTACTCGAGATCAATAGTTACAATCCTGTATGCAGTGTTCGAATAGAGGTATTTATGTACCACTCGCCATTCTCCTCAAATCTAATTGCGGAAATTTGTTGTATAACGGCTACGGTCAAAAGGTTCTCACTTAGTTCCAATGAGATTCTACAGCAGTCTTAAGTGTTCGACAAGAGCAGTGCTGTGAATCTTGCCGTCCAACTCATATCAAACACAATTGAAAACTAAACTTGCTTTACAATACCGAATCTCTGCTGTCATTGCTTCTTACAAGTTTGTAAAGCAATAAAACTGAAAGATAACAGTTGTGCTTGCTTTGTTTTTATTCTGCAACAATAAAAGAAGAAGTAATTATGTTCGCTTTGTTTTTCGTCTAAGATATGTGAAGCAGGTAAACCAACTTTGATAATATATAAGAGAGATAATAGTTGTTCGATATTAACTTTCATCAATGACGTTAAAACATATAGCAACTCAATCATAGGAGAAACTTAGGTACAGATAAGATAAAAACTATTTAAACTGAAAGACAAAAAACATAATTTGTATCCACTTTAAGATTTACTGATGCAGTCTATTTCTCTATTAAATCACAAACATGACAAAGCCGTCGAGAACTGTGTTGTCGCCTGGCTCCATGAGTATAGCGAAAATGATCAACAAGAGTTGGTCTCTCATCTTCATTATATTGCCAGTGCCGTTCAAACATTCAATGAACCCAATACATTTGCTGATTTTGTTACTAATATAGAAAAGTAAAACGTTTTTCTTATCATCTCTGCCACTTTCAGCACATACATTAATCCTCTTCTTTATGATCTACCACAACTTGATTCGATCTACGTTTTCTGTTCAAAAAGTGTGACAAAAATTGCTGAACTTCGTTGTTTGCCAAAGTATCATAAATTCAAACGTGTCTTTTTCGAAATCAATCCACTTTGTGATCGTATCCAACGAGATATAAATCGAATTAACAATGTAAACATAAATGCAATCAATTTTCATGATGGTGAAATAACATTAGGATCACATGAAGAAGAAAATTTAAACGAACTCAATGCCATGTTTATGTATTCGTACTTACTCAAAGATATTTTGATCAAAATGGACTTTGGTAAACAGGCAAAAGAACAATTTGTTAATTTTTGTCGCATCAAATATGCTGACAATCGATTTGCATTATATTTCATTGATGAATTCGAACAAAACTATGATAAACATAGCCCTGTATGGTGGTATACACGAGAGTCTTTAATTTATCCAATGCTAAATCAAGCTTTACGAGAACACGACACTGAGACTCTTTTTAAGATGGGCTTTTTCATTAAAGATCTTCATCAACAACTAGAACAGATTCATTCACTGGCAGCCACCAATAGTGACACATTAGTTGATTATCGAGGTCAAAGGTAAGTTGGCATTTCTTTACAAAAAAGACTTGATGATGTATTATTTTCTTCGGTGTATCGAACAAGGAATTTATTAATATAAAAAGTAGTCCAGGCGGTCTTATATCATTCAATAGTTTCTTATCAACAACATCAGACAGATTACTGGCTCAAGGCTTCGTCGAGGGACAATTGGGCAATTCTGAAACGAAGGCTATTGTTTAAAATGAATATTTGTTCTGAAATTCGATCAAGTCCATTTGCATCTCTCAATGGTTTGAGTTATATGGAAGAAGAGGACGAGATTCTCTTCTCAATGCATACTGTATTTCGAATTCAAAGTATTCAACAACAAACAAATCAACCTAAAATATGGGAAGTACATTTAAAATTAACAAGTGCCGAAGTCGATCAGAATCTTGCATTTCTTACCGAACACATGCGACAAGAAGTTGAAGGAGGAACAAGTTTACATCAACTCGGTCAGTTAACAGCAAGAATGGGAGAGTACGATAGAACACAGGAAATCTATGAACTATTGATCTTATAGTCACCCATTGATGATAAAAAAAGGACTTGTTTTCTTACATCATCAACTAGGAGTTGTCTATACTGGACAAGGTCATCTTGACGATGCTCTATCTCATTTCCAGAAATGGCTTGATCTCGAGTTGAAATATTTGCCACATAATCATCCACAACTTGAACCGACTTATCCTAACATAGGAATGATTTACGAAGATAAACATGAATTCGATCGATCATCCTTCTCTAGCAATTGCACATTATGACATCGCTCTAGCTTATGAAGGACTTCATCAGTACGTCGATACAATCAACTATGGACAACAAGCGTATGATATTGCCATGCATACTTTTCCTTCTCATCATCCCGAGTGTCTCATCTATGAAGTATATTTTAATAAATTCCATTCTAAACTGTAGCAAAAAATACTAGTAATATCCATGGATGATCTAATAATACTTCTTTTGAAAAACAAAACGGCTAATTTGAAATGGATTAGACGATTCTAAATACTCTCATACTTGTACACTTTTTGACCCATTTCTGAGAAATAGAAGCTAAATTGTTTTTGACGAAAACTAAGTAGGAAAGTGTTTTGCTACAGTAGGCAGATATAGAAGAAATGAATAGCCACTGTTCTACCATTAGTGCATTCATCAGTGTATTGACAATCATTATCAACGCAGTTCCTAATAAAATATTATCTCACTGTTATTGTTAAAATTGCCGTCGATTGCATTTAGTCGTGTTTTTTATGTGAAATGCGTCTATTTTGATTTTTGCATTTACATGTGTAGTCATCTACTAAGCTTTCAGAATCCAAATTTCTCTTTGGCGGCTGACCAAGAAAAACAAGTCTAGCTGTCTGACGTCATTCACTTTGACATTATGAGTATGAAAAGACCACTGTGACACTCACAAAAGGCTTGAAAGTTGAAAAACAAATATAAATAATGTTTATTGTAAATTCCGTCTTTAAATAAATCTAATAGCTATTAAGAAGTGCTAAAAATTTCAGACACACTAAACATGTCTTTGTCAAGCTATTCAGATATCAAGTAAAGTTATACTAGGTAATGGCAATGTACACAGTATATTTTATTATAAATTATATTCGAATGCTAAAATAGAACTATTGCACTTTATCAAATACATCTATTTTCGTTTATAGCCAGATTTGGTCATTGAACAGCCGTGTAGTGAAATTAATATGTTTAATTTCGATGTTGCTGATCCAAGATCACTTGTATTCAATCGTTGTCTAGCTATCATAGAAGCACAAAAACATTTGAGACGTGTTGGAGTTGATTTCGACTTGAGAAAAGCTTTGGTTTCTTGACTAGTTGCATACATCAATGGTGTAAGTCCATAACGATTCATACAATCAATATGAGCACCAGCATTTAAAAGTAATTTGATCATTGTTTGACTCTCTGACTGATGACATAACAAATGAAGAGCCGTATTGCTCATTATATATTCGACAGTATCGAAATCGAGCCAACGATGTCCACAAGCGAGTACCAGTCGAAGTGCAGATNATATGCATCTTTTGTTTTTATTATAAGCAAAGCTCTGTGCAACCAAAAATGATCTTGTTCGCTGCGTCGAAAATTGGTCGCATAGAATTTTGTCCATTTTGAAAACAAAGAGTGCTTGCATAAAATAAGGTTTTTAATGTAACTTGTAGAGCTTTTCACGTTGCATCCTATGGTATACTTAACTTCTAAAATAATGTGCTTGGCGATAGAAAAAAGAGATACAAACATCGGACACTTATGAGACATCCGTCAGCTTTGAAAGTTGAGTACTTTTAATGTGTCGGATAATCTTCGTTTAATTTTTTTCCTTAACTTTCTACACAAATAAGTTTGATTATAATTTCACAGAGAATTTGACGGCGCATCTTTTGGAAAAACAGTTAGCTCTAAAGACCAAAAAGAAAAAAAGTTATAGTCAAAATACTGAGAGGTTCATTTAATCTGGGCCACCCGTTAGATGTTTGTATTAAAAGATAGAATCGATTGTGTTATCAAACATATACATATTTTCAAAATACTATTAGTCTCAGATGCTTTGTTGTCTTTTTTAGTTACAGATATTATCAGAAAATCAAACAATATGTGGTTGAATAGTTGTAATAAACCAATCTTATTTCTGTGTTATACAACATTAAGTGCACAAGCACTTGAATAGCTAAATGTAATGACAATAACATTTGATCCAGCTCTATCATTTCCTTTAGTAATAATTTAATGATCGAAACATCACTTAACTTCTGCAAGAGTAGTAACGAAAAAATATCGAAGTATTCTTTTCTTTCACATACCAATAAGCATCTTCTATCTAGCAAAGAAATAATGTTTTATATATTTGATCTATCTTCTAATGTAAATGACAGAAGATAATTTGTTCATTTCTCAGATATATGTCTTATGAACGGATAGAATACTATATGTTTACAACCGTTTACGCTGACAACACATTTTAATACAGCTAATCGTATTTTATCCTTACAGTTTGGGAAAACGGTCAAGTACAGTTCGTTTTCTGAACCGATACGATACGGTCTAATACGGACCGAAAAAAAAACGTATTGATACCGTATACTGTCGAAAATACCTCGTTTTTATAACATTTACGGTCCTTTGTTGAATCGTAAACGATACCCTTTTGATCCATCTGAGTAGATAAAACTTAACTTGGTTACTTATTAATATTTGTGTTCCAGGTACTCAAAAAAAAAGAAATTTACTAACATTGCGCATATGTATGAGGAAGAAAAAGAACATGAACTATTAGATTAGTATATGCAACAAAGCAACAGATCTAACGTAAAACCGAAATTTTTAGGTTTATTTAAATACCTTGATTTAAACGGTTTACTTAGATACAAAGAATTAGACATGAAAATATTACGAAGAAGTTTTGATTTTTTTGAAAACTATGAAAAATATCATTAAAAAACGTGACTATTGTTTTTTTCAGATGAATAATGTTATTTTTTTTTCTATGAAGAATATCTCTATGGTCTTTTTCATTTATTATTAATGGGAAAAAAAAATTTTTTTCTTTGTGGTGAAATATAATCTTAGTTCAACAATAACAATATTGTATTGCCAAATAACATAAAAACTAACGAATATTATGGAAGTAAATATAGAAGATTTAAGTCTTGGCCTATTTCATAATCAACATTCATCATCATTTTACTGTGATTAACGTGAACAAATATTCTTATTTAATAACAGATACTATTAATTTCAACTGAGCACTGCCAAAAGCGGCCTTTTTAAAGGATTTCTCGCCGTTTGGTAGTCGTAGTATGAGGATCGTATCTCGCCACGTTGAGAATAGATGGGTGAGGATCTTTTATTTACTCTCATCCACGATAAACTACGGCCGTAATACTGCGCCTACCAAATATCAATTTACCGGTATTTACAACAACAAACTGTATAAAACAACAGCATACGTGATCATTTTCGGTCGTCTCAATGGTTGTTATCATCATTCTCGAAAATGATCTTTTCATTTCTCAACGTACTCCTAATCTTGGTTGAAGAAGTTCTTATGCGTAACTGTATTCGAAGTGACGCACAAGAGAATAAAATGTCGTGTATCTTTTGTTCTCTGTTTCCAACATATAATCTTAGATATATAATAAAAAAAGACAATCATTTCCTTGTTATTTTCTTTAATTTCATGACGCTTGTGCAATTCTTCCAACTTCAGACACTTGCCATTACGATGCAAAACGAAAAAATCGGTGGCCGTCGTTGTTTGAATACGAACTTCAAACTAAAGTTTTGATCGATGTAACTTAATACTTCAAGTGTCAAATTGATGACGTTCATGCTGCTGTTTGGATATGAACACTATTACTGCTTGACGAGATATCTTAGCAAACGATCCTTAGACTGTATAGTCCGTTGTAGCAAACACTTGTTTTTCATTGTATCATGTGGCATCAGTAGCTCGATGTACACACACGATCCGCTCTGGTTTTATTAATTAATCAGGTAATTAGCTTGAAAAAAAACAATAATATTCATATGAATAAATATAAAGAGCAATAAAGTAAAAATCTGAATTGAGAAAAATCTAACAATGTCTAGTTATGCAAAGTTCGTCGTAGAGTTTGTGATGAGACTTGCCACTTCTCGATGTGCACTGGTAGAAGCTTGTTTAATGGCTTGTAAAACATGTATAGTTTGCCTTTTGTACAGTGCATTATTCATTGTCTTTCTATAGAGCCCATCACGAAGTAGAAATATGATCGTACTTGTAGCAAACTGTATTTAGAAAGCATGAATATGAATATGTTTATGATTTCAGAACCACTTACAGCTTTATTATTTGATACTCTTAAGTCATTGATACAAGCGGCTTTAGTATGACTCACCGACGTAGATGAAACCGGAAGAACGAGTTCCTTCAGTTTTTCGTACGCTTTGTGAATGAAGATACCACATATTTGTGCTGCTACTGTGGCTGTAAAAGTTCGTCTTTTACTACCACGTACACTGTTCTCAAGATGACAACTATGATCAGTCGTCACACATAGACCAGACGAACGGCGGATCAGTTGATAATGTTGCATAATTTGAATATCATGAACAGTTCGACCTCCACCAATGTCCTAGCAAGTATCTAATAATAAGATTTGTTAAAATGATTTAATTGTTCTTACATAATTGGTAATATGAATTTGTAGATCTTCTGTTGCCGAATATTGATAATAAACATCCACTGAGATACGCGACTTATCAATTTTAACACCTATTGACAACAACAAAAAAGGATAATAGTCCTTAGTAATTTAATGTTATCAAGTTCATGAGTATGGCATACGTTCACCTTCATTATCACAGTGAAGAATTTCGGAGGTGATAATACAAATCATCTCTCCTAATTCATCGTAAAACTCGAATCGAAACTAGAATAGAAAGAGAACATTCAGTGTCGTTATTACGATAGATTGAAGAACAACAATACTACCTTCTCATTCCAGTTTGGACTCGTAGTTATGCTAATTGTTCCATACACATACTCGTTAGAAATCAGTATTTGATCTCCTCTTCGTTGACACCAATACTGTGCATGATCTGCACCAGGTCGTTCAGCGAATGGAACCAAATGACGATCACCAAATGAGTAGCACACGCCGGGTGATTGTTGAGTACGGACCGAATTTTCGTAATAAGCTTAAGGTAGTTTTGCAAGTAATGAGAAATACAATCGAAGTAACAAAAAACTCACTTAATAAAGTCATTATCATAATAGCTAAGGGATTCATTTGCTTCATTTTCCTATTCTTTCAAATACAAATTGTACAGTAATATGGTCAGCCAAAGACTAATACATATTGTGGTACGTGCACTGCAAAAATGAGTGCAATTTCATGAAAAAAAAGTTGTGCGTAAATTATACAAAAAATGGGAGTATTGTGAAACATAATTGTCAATGAGTACCGAAGGAGATAGCAAGAAAAATGTACACTAATCTCTATCTCAATACATCGATCGTAGTAGGCATATCGATAGGTGTATCTATATAACCTTTACGGACAACGATTTCTGCGGCTAGTGATTTGGCTTACGAGCAGAGTCGAATTATGTCCTGATGGTAAGACTAACAAAAAAATATCCATCAAGTTAGGGTGGGGAGAAAGAGAGTCACGAAAAAACACTAAAAACGATTGAACATCTTAGAAAATCATAGACAGTCATGGATAATTGCTGAAAAACAGTAGAGATCATTTCATGCCTATTGATTTTAGATGGTTTTCGGCAGATTTTGAATAACTTATTTTCCTCGTCATTGCTAATGGTACTAATATTGGATATTTCGTCTCTGCAACAATACAAACTTTTTATTATTTTTCGTATATACTTTCTCAAGTAATTTATATTTCATGTACAGTTCATCATTTCACTTTATCATTGAAATGTTTTCTCTTAACTTAACATAGATTTCAGAACACTTATCTGCCGCCACACAAGATATACTCTGACTTATACAAAAGTTCTTGTTATATAACTACGAATGCAATTGAATCAGTATGAGTCAAGACGGCGAATGTTCTGTGTAAATACGTTTCTTGTATCCTACTGTTCGTGATTCATGTAATTGCTTCAAAAAAACTGTTGATAAAACTCATAGCAACATTGGGCTTTTACGAAGTTGTGCAAGTGAAGATGAATAATGTGACAAGATTTATGTCATATAATTTGAGAAAAAGGTGCATCTATTATATAGAACTAAGTGATGATTCACTTGTTTGGAAAGCAATGAATACGCCTAAACGAAAAAAGTATAGCAAGAACAAAGTATTTTCTTTCTCTTCTGCTTACACTTGCAGCGAAATAGGAGCAAAAAAAAAACAAAAATTGAGGGAAAACATGAAGAAAATTAGCAGTCGAATTGAGTATTTAATAAACTGATTAATCCGATAACATAAGACACGCGTG